GAACTCAAACTTCTCTCTGTTGTATTTTTAATGAATTTTTCTTTAACATACTAACTCAATGCTAAAATCTGCTTAATCTAACAGGAGCATCTCCAAAGTTTTCTCAGTGGATCGAACGATTTAAAGAGTGCCAGGTTAGTTCCTAATTTCGTCGAAGAAAAGTGATCGTTTAACATTCAAATTGGAAAGTGTTAGTCTAGAGCTTTTGTTGAAACTCAGAGATTGTTGAGTTGCAGAGTAAATCATCAGGACAAGTTTGATATTTATGACTTTGGTGTAATGCTGCTAGAAATCATTTCGGGGAAACCATTAAATTCAAGGAACAAAGTCGAGGTTCTAAAAGATCAGGTATGTAATTGTCTATGTCATTCTGTTAATCTTCGCAGGTAAGACAGACATGGTTCATTTGAGATTATGAAGATTTTCACAGCATTTTGATACTGTTTTGATGTTTTCAGTTACTTTCCAGCATAATAGCCGATGATAAATTGAGAGAGAGTGCCGTTGATCCAGTAATCAACAGATCAGGTTCGGACGAATCATTGAAAACGATGATCAAGATATGCTGCAGTTGTTTGAACAATGATCCAGTCGATAGACCTTCTATCGAAGATGTACTATGGAATTTGCAATTTGCTAGCCAGGTCCAGGATGCATCGAGAGGAGACTTCCAGAGCAGTGATGGCTCCCCGATTTCACCTATGCAATCTTCGCACTTAAAGCTCACTATCAAACAATAAATGAAGTTTTATAGCATTCCCTCCTTAGGATTACACCAGAATAAGGATCAACACCACTCTCAGGTGTTTTTTTCTTACATTTCAAGATCCAGACATGGATTGAAATTCATGAAAACTTGTCCATTTTTTCAGTCTTTGGGAAAAGACGATATTTTAGCATAGATTCAAAGTCAGTGTAAACAAAATGATAAACGTTATATGCTGGCAATCTATTCACTAGCAAAGATAAAAGAAGCTCTGGATTTTATCCCCATGTTACAAGTCTTGATCAACTTGATCAGATGTACAATGGTAATCTCACAAGGCCTAAGTTCTATTTAACTCTCAGCATTTTCTAAAGAAAACTGGGGGAAGTTCAAGAAGGTATAAATTAAGCTAGTAAAAGTAAAGCATATAAATATAAGAATTGTACCACATATGTGATGGTTTGATCATTTCCCAGTTGTAGTAAGCCATCTTCTCCAACTTTTTCTGCTAGAGAATTGTCAAACTTGTGTTGACATGGGATGATTAATCACCTCACATTGCTATAAACGAAAATATCGATACCAGCAAATATTTCAACTCAAACTTGCATTAGTAATCACATGTCTATCCTCAAAGAATAAACTCCTGCCATCTTTCAACAACCACCATGCCCAGTGGCAATATAATCCGAACAAATCCCAGGCCAAATAATCAATACTCATACCATATGTCGGTAAAACCTTGCACAGAACTATTACAAAACTATAATTATTGAAACTAAAGTAGAACACCAAATACCAGATCCAAGATAAAAGAGAACACCAGAAAAATATATGAAATGTTTGATGACTGATGATACCTATGTCCTCGGGCAGTATGCTCACTTTGATATCAAATGAGCAAATTACAAACCTTAGGGCAATCGAAAAATTACAAATCAGCTGGAGTTCTTGGCGAGGGACCTATAGAGATATTAATCCGGCTGGGAAATCTACACAGGTCAGAGGGAGCTTTAAATAGGACAAGTAGATCATATGATCAAATCCACGCCAATGCAAGGCGCTTTGCAAAAAATGCTAAGGGGGGTTCAGATGATATAATGCCTCCCCTATACAAGAGATATCCATGGCCTATGAGCAGACAATGCAATAAAGACAAGTCTAATTTCTGAGTACTATTTTTCGACATGAGAGCATTTCTTGGAGAGATTCTAAAAAATCCATCATATTCCACTAATAGAAAGTTCAACTCTCCTATGTGAAAGATCCTTTTCAAGTTTGAATTTGTTCATTTGGAATCTGGGTTCTTCTACTTCATTTTTATTTAATATTTTTCCCTCTCTGGCTCATTTTATTCGAATCTGCATCCGAATTTTCTTTTATATACACACAGATGCCTAGCTTCATATGACAGATCAATTTAGAATCTAATGCAAAACACAACCTGATCCCTGATAGCAGAAAAAACTTTGAAATTGAATTCACAAACAGAAGTTAACTCTACCCAACAAAACAAAGCCTTCACCATAAAATGAACTCATGAAAGTCATGTATAATGCCACCATGGACACAAAAAAAGGTTTCACTGAAAACAAGCGCAACTGGTCATCATAACATATGGAGGATCCCATTCTCTGACAACAATGTATTACCATTTACATTGAAACCTATCGCCCAAATGCCAATTGACTTTAAAACATCCATTAACCTTAATTCTTTTTCTTCCAACTTAACCGATAAGTATTGAATTAAACAAAAGGTTCGTTACACTTTGAAAACCAAAAAAGGAAAATATTCCGTTTATCAAATTCCTTATAGAAACATAGAATGTGATATTAACTCAGCGGAGATACCCCGGGATCTTAATCCGAACAAAGAGCATACTCATGACATACGAAATCACCACAAATGCAACCCCAGCAGACGCAAACGACACCTTGACACTCTTGGCGCGGTTCTTATCAAGGGCCAGATCCAACAGCACTATCCCAACACCACCGAGAACGAACATGAACCCAGAAGATAACCCCTCTATAATATACTGCCCGTTGACCCGACCTGGGAGGAAGACGACAGGTCTGACCGCTCCAGTAAATCGGTCCTGGGTGGAGCCGATGCCAGGGGGCTCTACGATGACGTCGTACACGATTCCGGATACGACCATGAAGTAGGTGAGGAGGATGAGGGAGTAGACAGTCATTGCGGAGGGCAGAGTGAAGGTGGGCAGCTTCAGCCGCAGACGAGGCGGGCGAAGGAAAGAGAAGGGGAGTACCTTGAGGATGTGGAAGATCGGATCGATGGAGTTGGATGAAGGGTCGAATTGGGTGGTGCCGCCGGTAGTGGCGGAGGCAGCATGTGTTTCCGATTTGGGTGGCATTTTGGGTGAATCGGGATGAATCTTTGGTGATGGATCTGGCGTGGTTAGAAAGGTTTGGGGAGGTTTTTAGTTAGGTATTACACACAATAGTCCTCTAAATTTAGATCTTGTTTCAATTTAGGCATCCATCTTTCATTTATTCTAAAATTACCCCTAAACTTTATTTTGTTTTAAATCATTCATTTTATCTTACTTGTTTTATCAAACGATATGCATTATTTCACATTTAACACGAGATTTACCCCTGTTACCAATATCAGCTAACATTTGTAACGAGCAAAAAGAATGACTAACTTGAAATAAATAATTATTTCAAATAACTTTTAAATAAGAGTGATTAAATTGAAACGAGATTGTAATCGCAATTACTTTTTATTATGCTTTTAAGATCGAAAAATGTGGGGAGATAGTAAAAATATTTATTATCTTATCATTTAATAATTATTTAATTGATATAGTGGTAGATGTGAATGTTAATGTGAAAAACTATTTTTTTTTCATGTTCTTTGAAGTCTTGAATTATAGTATTACTAATGATGATTGAATATGGATAATTTTAATTTAATTTAAGCAATTCTATCAATGTATTTCATTTAAATTTATGATTAGTTTAGTCTTTAATTAGTATTAGGACTCTTAATTTTCATAATTTTAATTTCATTTTAGAGTTAATCGTTATCTTAATTTTATTATTATCTAGAGTTAGTCATTATCTAAGGGTTTAGTTATTATTAGATTTATTCACTATTCCAAATACGAGTTGTAAACCTTATGACAATCAATTGAGTGGAATTTGAATTGTTGAGATTTCTCTAATTTCTTAAATTATCTTATTTTATATTTAAAAATCAACTAGTCTAATTCTCTGTATTTGTAGTTTGATGCCTAAATTTCTGATATTCTTAATAATCAACAAAAAATAGAGAGTGACTGGGATTTGGTATTCATTTGGAATAACAAATATTCAATTACGTGTTTGTACATATTTATTTTTATTGCTTCTGCGCTACATTATTTAGTAGCGAAGCCACATTCATTGTTGATAGTGTTCGGGAGTTCAATTACAAGAGTTATGATGCATGATTATAACATTTTCGTTCCTTTTGATTCAAAGAAGTCGATGGATACAGATTTGAATGAGAACTATGACGATCTACCAATTTTTGACAAAGAAGTTGAAGAATATTTGAATTTCAATGGCTAAGGTCCTTCAATCTTTTGATGAAGAAATTGAAGAATTTGTGAATTTGTGTAATGACAATTACAATGGATCATCTATCTTCGATGAAGAAAATGAAAAAATGTATGAAGCCTGATGTCAATATCTCTAAGAGGTGGTCTATTGGAATCGTGTTGATTTCAAGTACCACAAGAGGGTCTGTAGATCTTGAGGTGCTTACTTTAGTTCAAACTTCGTTTGAAAAGATATCATTTGCATGCTCTGCAAATTTACAAGTAAAATAATATTATTACAAGATTGTGGATGATAACATTGTACAAAATTCGAGGACAAAGGTAAACCGTCTGCACAAAGAAGGTCACAGCTAAGCCAAAACAGCTACATTTTGCCCTCCAGAAGCCTAAAGCTGATGGCGACTCATCTGTAATTGAAAGCAAACTGTCCAAGACAAATGAAAATGAGTTGGTTTGCATGTACAGGGGCCTCTTTCACATGTCCTTGCCAGGTAAGACAAATGTGGGGTGGGCCCCACAATTTAAAAAAAAAAATCATGTGGGGCCTCACCCCTGCATAGTGAGGGGTTTGTGAGGCCTGTAAAGGCTGCACGTACAGGTGGAACCTTATTCATTGAAAATTTATTTCACTGTGAACTTATAGTACCATGCAGGAAAAAAATCAAAAGAAAATTCGTATTCTTTAAAAAAAAAAACCGCAGCCCTTTTCAAATGAAAATTAATGGTGTCCCCATGTGGCAGATAAGAAATATGAAATCCCCACGAAAATAGATGGAGAATAAAGGTTGTATTAAGCTGGAATCTTTCTTTATGATTTTTTCTTTTCCTTTTCCTTTTGCAGTTCAGTCCCTGCCCAATAAAGCTTCAAAAGCACTGTTATAAAGCTTACTGTCGGTTAAACTTAAACCTTGAAGAGCTTCAAAAAACCCATGTCACTAAGTTGTCTTCGTTTGTCAATTGTAAATTTTCATATCTAAATTTTAATTTATTCATCCCACAAATCAGGTTTTCAAGTAGAAAAATATAAGGTTTGAGAATCTTGAAATAGTTATGAAGGCCTAATTTGAAGTTTAAGGTTGCTTCATTTGAAGGTAATTGAGTAGTTTGTGAAGTACATCAAGTCATTTCATTTGAGAAGGGTATTACAGTTCTAATTTTGTTTAATCTTTTGCCTTTTGATATTCTTAAGGTAATTCATCAGAAATTGTTCTTGGAGAATTAAACTTGGATAAAGGTATGTGGATTTGCTGAATTTCATCTGTATATTGATCCTTATTTTTGTGATTTTCTCATATTATTACAAGACATGTCTTCTCCCAATTTAGACATTCTATTTCAAGAAATTGTAAAACGGTTAAAACCCAGAATAATCCAGAAATTGTTTCTTGATTAATTTTTTTTTAAAATTTAATTTGTTCTATATTTCGTACAAATGCAGGCTTTCACTGGAGAGTATCCAAGTTCTGATTCACAAATTTATTGATTAATAAATTTTATACCTCTGTAGTTTCTAGCTGATGGCAGAAAAATTAAGCCATATAAAACTTCTAGTTTTGCTTGTCCTCTCAATATCAGTCTCCTACACAGAGCAATTTCAATCATCACAAACACAAACCCTTTTGAGGATTCAACACCTTCTAAACTATCCACCTTTTTTGAAAAGTTGGAATAATGTCACAGATTTTTGCAACATGGAACCGAACTCGACTCTGACTATCGTATGCTACGAAGGTAGCATAACTCAGTTGCACATTATAGGAGACGAGGAGGCTCCTCGATTACCCAATAATTTCTCCATTGATTCCTTTGTTACTACACTTGTTATGCTTCCGAGTTTGACAGTCCTAAGATTGGTTTCTCTTGGTTTATGGGGTTCTTTGCCTAGTAAACTTACACGTTTATCATCGCTAGAAATACTAAACTTGACTTCAAATTTCTTTCATGGCACTATACCGCCTGAAATTTCTTCATTGACACGCCTTCAGACTCTAATACTCGATAGGAATAACTTTACTGGTGGACTTGCGAAGAGCCTGGAATCGCTTTCAGCTTTGGCCGTATTGAGTGTGAAGAACAATTCTTTATACGGGTCTCTGTCCGATTCACTTGGAAATTTGGAAAACCTCAGAGTCCTTGCATTGTCGAATAACAAATTCTCCGGTGAAGTACCTGATCTTAGCAGTTTGGCTAACCTACAAATTCTTGATTTGGAGAACAATGCTCTTGGCCCTCGATTTCCCGCAGTTGGTAATAAGATTGAACGGATTGTGTTAAGGAAAAATGAATTCACATTCGGCATTCCACAAGAAGTTCAATCCTATAATCAACTTGAGCACTTAGATATATCGTCCAACCGTTTTGTGGGACCGTTTCCAGCTTCCTTGCTATCCCTACCATCGATTGCTTATGTCAATATAGCAGATAACAAATTCACCGGCATGCTTTTCGAAGATCTTCCCTGTAATCCCGATCTCGATTTTGTGAACTTCTCTTCAAATTTGTTGACTGGAAAATTGCCTAGTTGTTTACGTCCAGGTTCCAGGAATAGGGTAGTGTTATATGCTGGGAATTGTTTGGTAACAGGAGATAATAATCAGCACCCGATTTCGTTCTGTAAAAACGAGGCTCTAGCTGTGGGAATCATACCTCATCACGAGAAGCGAAAAGTAATTTCCAAAATAGCTCTTGCTTTAAGCGTAACCGGAGGAATTATTGTGGCGATTATAGTAGTTGGTATAGTCATTTTGGTAGTCAGAAATTTTATTGCACAGAGAGCTGGACATGAACCCCCATCAAGATTTGTAGAAGAGAATGCTTCGACTAGCTACACCTCAAAGGTCCTTCAAGATGCAAGTAAGGGGTTCGCTCATTTGTTTCCCCTTTTTTTTTTTTTTTTGGAACACTGAACCATGCTTGTTTTCGCCTTATCCCTCGCCTTAGGGTACATAACCCGAGCAACAAAGCTAGGAGCACTTGGCCTTCCTGCTTATAGGACGTTTTCACTGGAAGAGCTCGAGGAGGCAACAAACAACTTTGATACATCGACTTTCATTGGAGAAGGAACTCATGATCAGGTAAGGAAATAAGTTTTTGCAAGTACACCTTAACTTTTATATCTGTTCGTGTCCATCAAATCTAACATTTATACATTAAGCTATGAAATGTTGGTAAAATGGCGTTTATCTCTTTTGTTGACTCAGATGTACAGAGGTCAGCTGAAGGATGGCTCCTTTGTCACGATTATATGCCTGAAAATGAAAAGATACCACGGCATTCAACACTTTATGCCTCACATAGAAATAATGTCCAAACTCAGACATCACCATTTGGTCAGTTCTCTCGGACATTGCTTTGAGTATTACTTGGACGATTCAAGCATTAGCAGAGTATTCCTTGTCTTTGAATACGTGCCTAACGGGACTCTCAGGAGCTGGATATCTGGTAACTCCATAGATTTACACCTTTGTTGAATCTATTAATGTCACAAATGATTTAAAATTTTTATACACCTTTGTTGAATCTATTAATTTTATGAGTGATTTAGAATTTATATTCTTGGATCAATAAAACTTGATCGATAGTGTTAACTCGGTGAATTTTAACTTTATGATTTTGTATCTAACAGTTTGCAATCGTTCAACTTCTTATATGGCAGAGAAGCAGATTAAACGAAAACTTACCTGGGCACAGCGCATCGCAGCTGCGATCGGCGTAGCAAAGGGTATCCAATTCCTGCATACGGGAATTGTACCTTGTCTCTTTTCAAATAATTTGAAAATAACTGATATTTTATTGGATCAGAACCTTGCTGCAAAAATTTGCAGCTACAACCTGCCTTCGCTAGGAGAGTATATGGGAAAAGTATGAAGAAAGAACTCAAACTTCTCTCTGTTGTATTTTTAATGAATTTTTCTTTAACATACTAACTCAATGCTAAAATCTGCTTAATCTAACAGGAGCATCTCCAAAGTTTTCTCAGTGGATCGAACGATTTAAAGAGTGCCAGGTTAGTTCCTAATTTCGTCGAAGAAAAGTGATCGTTTAACATTCAAATTGGAAAGTGTTAGTCTAGAGCTTTTGTTGAAACTCAGAGATTGTTGAGTTGCAGAGTAAATCATCAGGACAAGTTTGATATTTATGACTTTGGTGTAATGCTGCTAGAAATCATTTCGGGGAAACCATTAAATTCAAGGAACAAAGTCGAGGTTCTAAAAGATCAGGTATGTAATTGTCTATGTCATTCTGTTAATCTTCGCAGGTAAGACAGACATGGTTCATTTGAGATTATGAAGATTTTCACAGCATTTTGATACTGTTTTGATGTTTTCAGTTACTTTCCAGCATAATAGCCGATGATATATTGAGAGAGAGTGCCGTTGATCCAGTAATCAACAGATCAGGTTCGGACAAATCATTGAAAACGATGATCAAGATATGCTGCAGTTGTTTGAACAATGATCCAGTCGATAGACCTTCTATCGAAGATGTACTATGGAATTTGCAATTTGCTAGCCAGGTCCAGGATGCATCGAGAGGAGACTTCCAGAGCAGTGATGGCTCCCCGATTTCACCTATGCAATCTTCGCACTTAAAGCTCACTATCAAACAATAAATGAAGTTTTATAGCATTCCCTCCTTAGGATTACACCAGAATAAGGATCAACACCACTCTCAGGTGTTTCTTTCTTACATTTCAAGATCCAGACATGGATTGAAATTCATGAAAACTTGTCCATTTTTTCAGTCTTTGGGAAAAGACGATATTTTAGCATAGATTCAAAGTCAGTGTAAACAAAATGATAAACGTTATATGCTGGCAATCTATTCACTAGCAAAGATAAAAGAAGCTCTGGATTTTATCCCCATATTACAAGTCTTGATCAACTTGATCAGATGTACAATGGTAATCTCACAAGGCCTAAGTTCTATTTAATTCTCAGCATTTTCTAAAGGAAACTGGGGGAAGTTCAAGAAGGTATAAATTTAGCTAGTAAAAGTAAAGCATATAAATATAAGAATTGTACCACATATGTGATGGTTTGATCATTTCCCACTTGTAGTGAGCCATCTTCTCCAACTTTTTCTGCTAGAGAATTGTCAGACTTGTGTTGACATGGGATGATTAATCACCTCACATTGCTATAAACGAAAATATCGATACCAGCAAATATTTCAACTCAAACTTGCACTAGTAATCACGTGTCTATCCGCAAAGAATAAACTCCTGCCATCTTTCAACAACTACCATGCCCAGTGGCAATATAATCCGAACAAATCCTAGGCCAAATAATCAATACTCATACCATATGTCGGTAAAACCTTGCACAGAACTATTACAAAACTATAATTATTGAGACTAAAGTAGAACACCAAATACCAGATCCAAGATAAAAGAGAACACCAGAAAAATATATGAAATGTTTGATGACTGATGATACCTATGTCCTCGGGCAGTATGCTCACTTTGATATCAAATGAGCAAATTACAAACCTTAGGGCAATCGAAAAATTACAAATCAGCTGGAGTTCTTGGCGAGGGACCTATAGAGATATTAATCCGGCTGGGAAATCTACACAGGTCAGAGGGAGCTTTAAATAGGACAAGTAGATCATATGATCAAATCCACGCCAATGCAAGGCGCTTTGCAAAAAATGCTAAGGGGGGTTCAGATGATATAATGCCTCCCCTATACAAGAGATATCCATGGCCTATGAGCAGACAATGCAATAAAGACAAGTCTAATTTCTGAGTACTATTTTTCAACATGAGAGCATTTCTTGGAGAGATTCTAAAAAATCCATCATATTCCACTAATAGAAAGTTCAACTCTCCTATGTGAAAGATCCTTTTCAAGTTTGAATTTGTTCATTTGGAATCTGGGTTCTTCTACTTCATTTTTATTTAATATTTTTCCCTCTCTGGCTCATTTTATTCGAATCTGCATCCGAATTTTCTTTTATATACACACAGATGCCTAGCTTCATATGACAGATCAATTTAGAATCTAATGCAAAACACAACCTGATCCCTGATAGCAGAAAAAACTTTGAAATTGAATTCACAAACAGAAGTTAACTCTACCCAACAAAACAAAGCCTTCACCATAAAATGAACTCATGAAAGTCATGTATAATGCCACCATGGACAAAAAAAAAAGGTTTCACTGAAAACAAGCGCAACTGGTCATCATAACATATGGAGGATCCCATTTTCTGACAACAATGTATTACCATTTACATTGAAACCTATCGCCCAAATGCCAATTGACTTTAAAACATCCATTAACCTTAATTCTTTTTCTTCCAACTTAACCGATAAGTATTGAATTAAACAAAAGGTTCGTTACACTTTGAAAACCAAAAAAGGAAAATATTCCGTTTATCAAATTCCTTATAGAAACATAGAATGTGATATTAACTCAGCGGAGATACCCCGGGATCTTAATCCGAACAAAGAGCATACTCATGACATACGAAATCACCACAAATGCAACCCCAGCAGACGCAAACGACACCTTGACACTCTTGGCGCGGTTCTTATCAAGGGCCAGATCCAACAGCACTATCCCAACACCACCGAGAACGAACATGAACCCAGAAGATAACCCCTCTATAATATACTGCCCGTTGACCCGACCTGGGAGGAAGACGACAGGTCTGACCGCTCCAGTAAATCGGTCCTGGGTGGAGCCGATGCCAGGGGGCTCTACGATGACGTCGTACACGATTCCGGATACGACCATGAAGTAGGTGAGGAGGATGAGGGAGTAGACAGTCATTGCGGAGGGCAGAGTGAAGGTGGGCAGCTTCAGCCGCAGACGAGGCGGGCGAAGAAAAAAGAAGGGGAGTACCTTGAGGATGTGGAAGATCGGATCGATGGAGTTGGATGAAGGGTCGAATTGGGTGGTGCCGCCGGTAGTGGCGGAGGCAGCATGTGTTTCCGATTTGGGTGGCATTTTGGGTGAATCGGGATGAATCTTTGGTGATGGATCTGGCGTGGTTAGAAAGGTTTGGGGAGGTTTTTAGTTAGGTATTACACACAATAGTCCTCTAAATTTAGATCTTGTTTCAATTTAGGCATCCATCTTTCATTTATTCTAAAATTACCCCTAAACTTTATTTTGTTTTAAATCATTCATTTTATCTTACTTGTTTTATCAAACGATATGCATTATTTCACATTTAACACGAGATTTACCCCTGTTACCAATATCAGCTAACATTTGTAACGAGCAAAAAGAATGACTAACTTGAAATAAATAATTATTTCAAATAACTTTTAAATAAGAGTGATTAAATTGAAACGAGATTGTAATCGCAATTACTTTTTATTATGCTTTTAAGATCGAAAAATGTGGGGAGATAGTAAAAATATTTATTATCTTATCATTTAATAATTATTTAATTGATATAGTGGTAGATGTGAATGTTAATGTGAAAAACTATTTTTTTTTCATGTTCTTTGAAGTCTTGAATTATAGTATTACTAATGATGATTGAATATGGATAATTTTAATTTAATTTAAGCAATTCTATCAATGTATTTCATTTAAATTTATGATTAGTTTAGTCTTTAATTAGTATTAGGACTCTTAATTTTCATAATTTTAATTTCATTTTAGAGTTAATCGTTATCTTAATTTTATTATTATCTAGAGTTAGTCATTATCTAAGGGTTTAGTTATTATTAGATTTATTCACTATTCCAAATACGAGTTGTAAACCTTATGACAATCAATTGAGTGGAATTTGAATTGTTGAGATTTCTCTAATTTCTTAAATTATCTTATTTTATATTTAAAAATCAACTAGTCTAATTCTCTGTATTTGTAGTTTGATGCCTAAATTTCTGATATTCTTAATAATCAACAAAAAATAGAGAGTGACTGGGATTTGGTATTCATTTGGAATAACAAATATTCAATTACGTGTTTGTACATATTTATTTTTATTGCTTCTGCGCTACATTATTTAGTAGCGAAGCCACATTCATTGTTGATAGTGTTCGGGAGTTCAATTACAAGAGTTATGATGCATGATTATAACATTTTCGTTCCTTTTGATTCAAAGAAGTCGATGGATACAGATTTGAATGAGAACTATGACGATCTACCAATTTTTGACAAAGAAGTTGAAGAATATTTGAATTTCAATGGCTAAGGTCCTTCAATCTTTTGATGAAGAAATTGAAGAATTTGTGAATTTGTGTAATGACAATTACAATGGATCATCTATCTTCGATGAAGAAAATGAAAAAATGTATGAAGCCTGATGTCAATATCTCTAAGAGGTGGTCTATTGGAATCGTGTTGATTTCAAGTACCACAAGAGGGTCTGTAGATCTTGAGGTGCTTGCTAAAGTTCAAACTTCGTTTGAAAAGATATAGTTTGCATGCTCTGCAAATTTACAAGTAAAATGCCATTATTACAAGATTGTGGATGATAACATTGTACAAAATTCGAGGAGGAATCTACATAAATCGAAGAAGAATGATGAAGATTGAAAATGGATGATTTTAATTTAATTTGGGAAATTTTATCTATATTTTGTATTTTAATTTATAATTAATTTAGTCCTTAATTAGTATTTGCACTCTTAATTTTCATAATTTTAACTAGATTATGATTTGGAGCAATTCTATTTGTAACGAATGTAATGTACCGAAAGTTGTCTCTCTCTCACAATGCACGCCCATGAATATAAAAATCCCCAAATGTGGTCCCCACCCTTTATTGTGAGTTGTAGGTAAAAAATTGAGTAAAAAAATTATGTACATGTAGTATTGTCTTTATGATTTTAATTCGATTTGGAGTTAGTCGTTATATTTAATTTTAGGAACAATTGTAGTTGCAGCTCCAAACTTTTCATCTTTTTGTAGATTTTATCCATATCTTTCATTTAGTTGTAGCAAAAGGACAGATGGATGGATTTCATCAATTTAATCGTTAATTGATCAGAAAAATTGACTTTGACAAAACATATAAAAGGCTAAAATGAAAACTTTACAATTTTAACATAAATAATTTAAAAAATCAAATAAATAAAAGAAATAAATAGATAAAGAATAGGGAACTTCATCTCCTTCTCCCATTCCCAAATACCCAAAAAAATGGGAGATCAACCTCAGAAAGGCTTGTTTGAGTAAGTATTGTAAGAGGATAGCTATTGGAGTATGGCTCAGAGGGGTTGTTGGAACTTTGGGACAAAAGTGTTTGAATTCTGCATTTTGAGTTAAAAGTGGAATGAGGTCGTCGAAGTTGTATGAAGTCAAGCGTGAAACTAATATTGCTACTTCCTAACACCATGGATGAATTTCACCACCAAGGCCCAAACAACCCTGTACTGTGTGGGTGTATATGTCCGTGTGAGAAATAATATTGATTTTCTTTTGCATCTTCAAGCGAGAGCACGATCGATGATGTGGGGCTTGTTAAATGTGGGATTCAACATATGGTGGAGTTTCTTCTATTTCTTTGACGTTGAAATTCCAATACCAAATCACAAACTATTCGAATTTCCAAATAATTTCTGGGTTTGGTTTTATTTTGGGGTGGATGAGGGGATTGGTGGGGATATGGTTGGGAAAGAAGTTGTGGAAGGTGACGGTTGATCATTTGATTTCTTGCAAGTGGACGGGATCGTCAACAAATAATATAGTAGTGTATAAAGTGTCGAACCCATGAAGACTAAGTATTGGTTTAAGCTCAAATTATTAACAACCTTAATCGAATAGCAACAAGTTTTGAGTTTTCTATACTAATACCTAAGTTATCAATTAAATTAGAAAGCGATTTAACTGATTTTTTAAATATGTGAAAATATTGTTAAGATGTTGAATCCCCTTGTTAATCTATTTTCAGCACAACAAATTAAAGTGACAATTTGTACTCATTCTAGTTGGTTAATGTTACTAATTTAATTGAAAACCTTTCTTGATAGTTATTAAATCTATTTCACTCATGTGACATTTCTATCTTTCTATGAAAGATACGAACATGATAAATGCATTAAACGGCCTATAACACCTATGAAAATCATGATGTAAAACAAAAAGGTATATCTCCATCCTCTATCGAACCTTACACTGTTTATTTTTTTTTATAGCTAAAAACCCATTATCTCTCTTGATAACAATATATTCCAATAAATCATCTCAATTAGTAGCTAATTAAATGAAAATTTGGTGAAAACAATAATAAAAATCCAAGAAACATACATATTAAGCGTCAAAATAATTAATTAATACAAAAAAACTCATAACAAGGGTTCATCTCATTAAACACCTATTTAAGCAAACCGACCTCCAAAGTAAGACTTTCACCCAATTTTATCTTGTTAGTTTAAGATAATTCACACATAACTTTTTTACAAAAGTAATCCAGATTCACAAACGTATCTTCCTACAACAATAAAATCACCCCAAACTATACTAGATTTGATCTTAGAACAATCAATTTAAGATAGATTTGGGTCTCGCCTCTATTTTTAATCTTTCTACCTATTTAGCATATGAATAAACTTATTGCATCATGAAATAAAACTCAATTCTTATACACATATAATATCAAATTTTGCAAGGTTAAGCATCAGTTAATTTAAACATGTAACCTATCCACAGTCCATAGATCAACATTAAATCTCAAATTAAATCATCATTGTTGGCCAGACTATCTAACCCACGCAAGCACACACTCTAATAACAGAAAATATTTTTGAATTTTTTTTATATTGAAGTAATACTAAAAACAAACACACAAATATACGGGGGAAAAAAAATTAAAAACTCAATTTTTTTGTCCACTCCAAACTTAAAACTGACATTGACTTTGCTATTTGTACACTGATATTTGACACGCTGTTTGACACTTGCATTGTTGTCAAGTGTCAATTGGATGGAAAAACTGTTTGAAATTTAAACTGTCCAACAGGGTAATGTCACGTGGTAAAGTGTACACCATAGTGTACATCTAGCAAGGTCCTTAATATGATAAAGTATAAGTTAGTATAAAAGGGAGTGGGGAAGAAAAGGAAAACGACACTCCGAATTTTTCTATTGAATGTGTGAGGCACTATGGGTGACAGCTAGACAATCTCTTTCATTATGCTTTTCTTTTGGTCTATATTGGTTTGAGTATTCAACGATGTCATGTTTCTGCATGTAGCGATTAAATTAAATATTAAAAATGAAATAACATAGAACATATGTTACTTAGCCAAAACAATCAAAATAACCAACAATAAATTCAAAGGTCTAAGGGAAAACATGATAGGATGGTGAGACTCTATAAGTTGAAACGTCCATAAATTTAATGCAAACTAATGATAAATCTATATGAAATGCAATACAAAAAGCAAAGTAAATAAAAGAAAAATTGGATTGCTTCTCAATAAGCGCTTAGTTTATAGTCTTTAGCTAGACTGTGCGGATAGATGAACTCTCCGTTCTCCTTTTGTCCAAGGCTTCCTAGATGTTTAGGCTCTATCTCATTTGAGCCTTGTTACACTTCTTCAGCAACAAATTTTGAGTTTTCTATACCAATACCTAAGTTATCAATTAAACTAGAAAGCAATTTGATTGGTTTTTCAAATATGTGAAAGTATTGCTAAGATGTCGAATATGCCTTGTAAATCCATTTTCCGCACAACAAATTAAAGTGACAATTTGTAGCCATTCTTGTTAGTCAATGTTCCTAATTTAATTGTAAACCTCTCTCGATAGTTATCAAATCTATTTCCTTATGTGATCTTCCCATCTCTTGATAAAAGATGAAAGCATGATAAATACATTAAACGATCTAGAACCCCTATGAAACCATATAAAGCATATAGGTATATTTCTATCATATGTCAAACCTTATGATGTTTATTATTTTTAGCTAAAAACCTATTATCTCTCTCAATAACAATAGATTCCAATATATCATCTTAATTAGTAGCTAACTAATTGAGAGCTCAACGAAAACAATAATAAACATCCAAGAAAACATACATACTAAACGTCAAAATAATTAAT